TGTTCTAATAAAATTTCCATTGTTGCTGTCATCTGTTGCTGATTCAACATTGCCCAGATCATCATCAACTGTATTTTTGTTATTTTCGATAAATTCATTTTCATTTAATATTTTCATCATATTTTCTTTTAGTGTGTTGACATTTTTTTTGATTTCAACTTGAAGATAGTCCAAGATATAAATATTTAGATTGACACCTTTGTAGACAATGATTGTGATAAATGGGTACACTACAATTATTCAAATTAGTATAGTTAGTGTAATCACATTATACGCAATTGCAAAAAATGTTTGTAGATGGTTTCAAAGTTTTAGTAATTAAAGGATACTGATTGTCTCTAGATGTGAATCGTCAACATTCAATAAAGAATGTATTTTTTGAATATTTTGTAAGTGTATTCACTACATATTTCTCATGTTCATCTGCAACTTGCTTCTTTTTACGATCTACTGCTTTTGATGTTGTAGTTACTCCAAGACTTGTATCTGCCAAGTCTAAATAGAATGCAAGGTCGAACTTAAAAGAATTAATTTTTGTATTATTTAAAACAAGAAGATAACACATGAACACCACCATTAACCTCTTCATATGGTCCATTACGTTAAAATGGCTGAGTGTTGTATCAAATTGCTGGTTCTGGGACAATGGCAAATTTTTTACCGATTTTTGATACATTTTTGATACCATTTTACAGCATTCAAGCTCCTTGATATCCATTAATCAATTTTCAGACATCTTCCAAAAAACAACATATAATGATATCCAATGTCATCTCTGAAATGCTATCAGAAGTTGAAATAGACAAACAAATAATTACAATAAAATAAGTAAAGGAATAAAATTTTCCAATTAAAGATAACATGATAGTATATAAAAAACAATAAAAATGTATACATATATAAAACAAGCAATAGCAAATTTCTTAAACAATAGCAAGGACCCATTCGATGCAGGAGAGCTTCTAGAGGTGCAGGAAATGGTAGAGTATGTAGAGGTAAAAACACCGCATTCTGTATGGGCATAGCAATACTTTTGATGCTTTTTAAGTACTTTTTCTGATGTGAAGTATTGCCTACATCAGCTACATAAATGCTTCTTTTTATTGTCCTTAGTGTTGGTAAATATGAGCTTACTTGGATCTTTTAACCATAGGTAATGGGTTCATTCTTTTCCACCTATGGTCTCTTCAGTTAGAACCATAAGATTAACTTCGATATTATGATTGGTTGCATTCCTTCTTTATCATCCCAGTCATATACATTAAAATAGTATTCTGTGGTTTAACTTTTCAAGCTTTTCAAAAACGTTTTTGCTTACTGGGACTGGCTTTCCATCTAGAATGCTTTCAAAATTTACTAGATGAGTATAATTTTTAAGAATCGATAAGTGCTCTAAATGCGTTTGTTTACCTTCTATGAGTCTATCAGCATTGGATTTATTGGTTGCCTTATTTGCTATTGCCTTTGGGGTTTTAATATGGCTTCCTCCCCTGGCAATTTTGTATTTAGCTATCTAGATATCAATATAGTTGCCTTTCTTGAAACGGTATCCTGATCCTAAATACGCAAGAGTTCTTTTTTGATGAACATCTTTTAATGTTTTGAATGATTTCTGCTAGCCTCTGACCATATGTGATTGGTAATTCATTGTTGGATCACTTCTGGTCACCTTTAACTTCTTAACATATTCTGCACAAGTTCTTGTTGCCATTGTTAAGCTCAGGTGCAGCCTTGAGAGTATCATATAATTTTTTCTCAAGTTCTTGTTCGAACACATTGTCTAACCTATAAGCATTGCTAATGGGGAAATCAGAGCAAAGAGGACGCAATGGATAAACATTTCCCATGTTGATAAAAAAATATTATTGTCTTTTGGTGCAACTTTATTGAGATTTTTACTAGAGATCAAAAGTACTAACCAGTTGATCAGAAATTTTATAGCCAACTATTCACGAATCAATATTATTTTATTTACATGTATTGACTACTTGTCAATTTAATGCAAAAGATAGTTGAAGCTGCTCTAATAAATTAAAATCATGGATAAAAGTAAACAATTATGCAAAAACAATGATAAATATTTTAAAACACCCAAATTTTTCAAACAAATTTTGTTTTAATAAATTCAAAACAAATCTATTTATCTGGTAATAAAAACAAGTGAACCATCTTTGAGTATTTTCTAATTTATCCAGTAAAACAAAAGTATATCACACAAAGGTTCTACTATGTGCAATTCCCTCAATTAAAATTTATTTACAATTATTAGGTAAAACATTAAAATAAATAAATATTGTCTATTTTTGGGTTAGAAAATCTATGGTAATAATCATCTTTAAATACCTAATCCTTTTTTGCCTAATGAAGTTTTAGCATTACGGCCTGGCATAAATATTTTTGGTTTTTTGGGTGACCTTACTGCTTGTATTTGTAATTTTTCTTCATCTTCCTCTTCCTCTCGTGCCTTCTTAATTTTCATTTCCTTTGTCATTTTGGCCATTTCTGCTTTGTTTGCAGCCCGTTTTTCCTGTAATAATCATAATAATAATAATTTTATTATTTGAGGGAAAAAGAGGTTTTAAAAAGAAATTAAATCTAATATTTCAAATACCTTTTGTGTAAAATTATTTTCTTTGACTGAATAAAACATAGGTCTAATAATAAAATTTTTTTTAATAATTAATTTTTTAAAATTTACAAATAAATTACAACATACCCCATTTCCGCAAGCCAATAGGGATCTACAGCAGTAACACATTGCATATATTCTTTTGAAGTCATTACCAATTCATGATAGACTATGTAATCAGGTGTATACCCAAGTCCATACAATGCACTTGTCGGATGAAGATGACATGGCATACCAGTACGAATATTAACATATTCTCCAATTCCCTTAATTCTTGCAGCTTGATGAAAGTATGCTGAACATATACACTTTCTAACTACATCCCAATTTGTGCCACAAGACACTAATTCCATTTTTTCAGCTTTCATAATATCTATTAATTGTGATCTGACCTCTTGAGCCTTACGCATTGCCTTTGAATGTATAAAATGGTTTACACACCATCCATCTTGAAACCTAAATTATTATTATTATTATTATTATCATCATCATCATTATTATTACTATTATTAATGATATGTATATATTTGGACACATACCCATTAGATTTCCATTGTGTATAAACATGTAGTAAAGTCAAATGATCACTTTCAGGTACAAAAAATTTTTCTCTAGCAGCATCACTTTGCTCTACTCTTTCCTTTGGTCGATAAAATACTGAAGGAACAGAAAGCATAGATACAATAGCCTACAAACATACATTCATAAATGTATAAATGTTAATCATATTAATAAAATTAATAATTCAATAATAAATCATACCAAAATTTCTGCAGTACAGCCTAACTCTTGAGATACAATTAACATCTTGGACAATGAAGGATCCAATGGAAATTCCACCATTCTACGCCCAAGTGGTGTTAATTCTCCTGTATTATCTAATGCACCCAAGATCCATAATTGATACATTGAATTCAAAATATTGTCCTATAAATAAAATATTAATTAATAATAAATAATATACATTTATTATTATAGCAATAAAATAGTATTTTACCTGTGGAGGAGGATCCATAAAATCAAAATCTAATAAATTTTTAACACCCAAAGATTTAAGAAGTAATACCACATTTGCTAAATTGGTTCGCTGAATTTCAGGTATTGTATTAATAAACATTTCATGATGATAAGCTTGTTCTGTATAGAGACGATAACAAGTTCCTGCACCTGTACGTCCAGCATGTCCAGATCTTTGATTTGCATTTGCTTGGCTGATTGGTGTTATTTGCAGTGAATCCATACCAATCTTGGGATTAAAAACTTTTAATTTGTTATATCCTGTATCAATCACATACATAATACCATCAACTAACATTAAAATATAATGACAGCTAAGTAACCATAATTTATAATATCAATTCTATAAAACCACTTTTTAAAAATATACCTGTAAGTGAGGTTTCTGCAATGTTTGTTGCAACAATCACTTTACATGCATTATCTGATGTCTTTTCAAAAATTCTAGCTTGTAAATCAGCAGGTAATTGTGAATAAATTGGTAGAACTGCCAATGGTGGTGGATTATCCAATTGTTGAAGTTGTTCTATAAAAATAGAATTTAAGGTAGCAGCATGGAATTAATTCCATTCAAATACAAATATGTATATTGAAAAGAACAAGAAACCTACCTGAAATAACTTGGCATGTTATTTCTATATCCTCTTGACCAGTCATAAACACCAAAATATCACCAGCTGGGCGACTTAAATGAATTTCTAAAACTTGTTTTACAGCACTGTCAACATAATCCTCGCATGGAGTTTTACTAAACATAGTATCAACTGGAAAAGTACGGCCTGGAATTGTAAATATAGCACAATTTCCAAAAAATGCAGCAAACTAATGAAAAAATATATGTGAATATACATATATTAATTTGTTAGAAATAAATTTTTTTTGAAGGAAAGTAAATTTAGTAAAATATATAAATATAAAATAACCTTTTCTGTATTCATAGTTGCTGAAGTTACAATTAATTTGAGGTCCCTTCTACGTGTAATCACTTAAAAACATATAATATAAATAAATTTTTTTCAACATACTGTAATAAATTTTTTAATGATAGAAATGCCAAAAAAATACCTTGTCTTAATAAACCCATTAAAACATCAGTCTGTAATGAACGTTCATGAGCTTCATCCATTATAACAGTACTATAATGATCAAGATCTGGTTCTTTAAGTGATTCACGAAGCATTACACCATCAGTCATATCTTTTAAAAGAAAAGAAAACCCCCATTTATGGTCAATTTTTAATCAAAATAAACAACAAAAAAAAATTTATAGATTAATTTTGACTTGTACATTTTATCAGAGTGCTTTCAGAAGTACAATCTTCAAATCAAATTGCATAGCCCACTGTTGTTCCAAGCTTACACTAAATAAATTAGAAATAAAACATCTTAGCAGATTTATTTACCAATTACCAATAGTCAATAATGAAGTAAAATAATATTAAAAAATTTCATTTACATCCATTTCTTCGCTAACACGCTTTGCAACTGACATTGCAGCAACACGTCGAGGTTGTGTACACCCAATAATTCCATACTTGCTGTAACCATCTTCATGAAGATATTGTGTAAGCTGCGTGGTTTTACCTGAACCTGTTTCATCAACAACAATAATAACTATATAATAAATAAATGAATTTAGCACTGTGTAGATATACATATAGAAATCATATAAATAAATAAATTAATAGTAACATACCTTGATTATCTCTAATAATTTTTAAAAGGTCTTCATGAACTACAAAAGCTGGTAAAAATTCTCTTTGTTCACGTAAAGTTTTTGATCTTGCAAAATTACTTACCGCTTCAGATGCTTTCAGATGTGTTGCAAATTGAGAATCACCTTTTGGAACCTCAATTTCGTTGCTATTTTTATTTTTATTATTGGTTTCTTGTGCTAATTAAATTTTGATTTTTTAAAAAAATAGATTGAAAATAAATACTTTTGAATTATGATGTAAATATTTATTATTAAATGCCAATGATCACAAAAAAAGCAATCTCATGTTACCAGTAGTTAATTCTTCAGTGTTTTTAATTCTTAATAGATTGCCTAATGTTGTGCCAGCAACTTCTGCAACACTTTTAGAAGCCTATTGTAACATAACATGTATATTTATAGTTTTAGTTTATCAGTGAAATGGACAAAAATAGTTTTTAGAGGAGGGCAGCAAAGTAAAAAACCTTTTGACACTCAATTTGATCTCTTTTATCTTTTACTAGCCTACTCCCTTTTCTAGCAAATACTGTTAAATCAGAAGTGGGATCTTTTACAGATTGTACAGCTTCCAACTGTTTAGTAAAAACCATACAACCATCAAGAAATGGTGGTTTTATATCATGTACAAGTAAATGAACTCGAGACTATAGTTGAATGAATGAAGTCAGTAAAATTTTATATATAAACTTATGTATGTATTTGATATAGTAATTAAAAATTATTTCAATATATGTACATCTTCAAAGTCCAGATCAACTGTACTTCTTTGTGCAACACCACTAGTAAGCATTCGATTTGTTTCCCAAAGCTCATTATCCTTATTGTATTGTTCTTGTTTTGCCGAGAATTTTTTCTAAAAATTTAATCACAATAATAATAAGCAATCATTGATCAATATAAAACATATCATTATAATTATAGACATTATAGACATTATAGACTTTTATAACATACAAGTTGTTTTTGAGCAAGTTCCTCCTCTTTTTTTTTTACTATGTCAGTATAATCTCCAAATGGATTATGTGAATCATCAATTGTCTAAATGATTAAAAACCCCAATAATTAAAAGAGAGATTGTAGTATAAACAAATAAAAAATTTGTAAAAAGTTTATAAAAAAAACAATATATATATATATATGAATAATAAATAAGCTTTCATTACCCCTGATGACTCTTCAATATTATACCATTCTCTATCAAGTTTTTTCTGTTCTAATTCCCATTCAATTCTATCAAGATCTGCCCCAGTATAATCTTCCTCATTATGATGTCTATATTCTATTTCATCATAATCAAAAGAGGCAAGACGAGGAGTAGGAAAATCTTTGGGCGGTGGTTTATAATCTAATCCAGTATTTATTTGTTCGGAAATCAATTTAAATAATGGTCAAAAGTAAAAAATTATAAATCTCATAAATTTCAGATTTACCTTTTCGTGAAACTAAACCTCCAATGATTCTTGGTGTACTAGCTCTTGAGGGTGTTGAATCCCATTCCCATTCGCTTTTACTGGATGAAGAGCGTTCACGCTCATGTTCACGTTCACGATTTGTTCGATTTGATCTGTAATGACTATAGGAATTGTTTCTTTTCATATTTTTTTTAGAATTATTATTAGGAATTTGCTAATCTGTCGATCAAAAAATATTTTTAAAATGAATTCTTCAAAATCCGAGGAAGAAGATTTCGAGGAGGACTCAAATAATTCCAATAATTCTGGTGAAGAATTAAGTATCATTTCTGACAAAGACTCTGATTCTAATGAAAATTCAGATGTTTCTAATACATCAAATAATGAATCA